CCTACAGTGTGACACTTGCATTGACTTTTCATGACTAACGGGATGACAAAACGCTTTGTCGAGATCTTGCTCATCTAACTCATGTCCAGACATCACTAAGGAAATAAACTGTTTAAAGCCAACTTTCCCTCTGGAGATCAACTAAATATATGAGCTTTTTTTCTTCTTGCAAACACAGAAATATATGAAATAACTAATAAATACATTAACTGACACCCTAGATGCATAGCATTTGTACTACAATTCACAATCTGAGTTGACAGAAACAGAATGTTAATTTTTCTTTGGATTCAAACCCTGTTAAGCTTAAACAGCACATGGACCCCCCCATTAGTTATCAGCCCTATACCTGTTAAGACAAGAAATACTGACTGAATCAATGAACGCAAATCAAAAGTGAAGCAGATAATCCGATGTTTGTGTGATGATGGGATTGTGTCTTAGTACTGTTAACCTTTGCTATGAGAAAGGTACAGTTGAATATAAATGAAATAGTAATCAGACATTGCAGCGGTGTGTCTAAGAGAATCATGAACATATTTCACAAATATGCTGAAACAATCAAATCAGATGGGATGGCATTCTGTTTTTTTAAAAGGCATGTTCAAAAGTTTCAGTGATAACGGATCAAAAACAACAGTTCAGTTTGGAGTTAATCCTTTGTAAAATAATTAGATGGCAGCAGGCTCTAAACCCAATTAAAGTGCAAGAAGTCAATTTAAAGTGTACATGTCCAGTGTGCTTTTCATGATAAAGAATTATTGGTTGTAAAGGAATGATGACACACAGTGATCAGTCAATGAATTCACCAGCATAGACATTTTTACAGAGCAGTTTCTTATCTGCTAGTCAGGTACCAAAAGTACACCCAGTTTAAATTATACTACTACAATATACTACAAATCTGTAGTAATAATAGCTACACAAAAATAATAAGCTTAAAAATTACAGTAAACCAGTGTACAAGTTACTGTCCTATTTACAGCAACACAGTTTTAATTAAAGTAAAAATATATTAGAATAAGAAAACCTGCCTCAATTAAAGCAATTTAAACCAAAGTAATAACTATGCTTGTTGGTGCAAAAGATGTGAGGAGCACTCTGCCTACTTTTTTAAATGTTCTCGAGTCTGATTCCAGTGTCTCCATCAGTAATATGCTCCTGGTCAACCTCCCCAACATCCTGAGTTGCAAACCAGTCTCTCACTTGCTGATAGCTCATTCTTGATTTCTTGCATAGAGTGTCAAGGTCTTTTTCATGTAGTGAGCCTGTTGAAAGGTAATATGTTACCAGTGGCTGGGTATCAGGGAAATCTGTACTTGTTCCATTTCCTTGAGATTTTCGTTTGCGGCTACCCCCAACCCGAGGAGAGGTCCCAGAGCTACTTCCATTAGTTAAACCACTGTTACCTTGCTGGCCAGCAAGGTCTGCCAAGAACTGGTCACGGACCCCTTTTACCCAGCGCAGCTGGCCATTTTTAACAGCATACCGTGTGTCACCAAACCACTGAATAACATCTGCGCGGGGTAGACCTGTAAGCTTAACTAGTTCAGTGTAATCTTCACTCTTGGGCCACTGGCAGCGTAAGAAGTGCTGCTTTAACACATCCAACTGCTCCTTGGTCTTTCTTGGTCGCCCTGCAGGAGTGAGGGCAGGGGATTTGGATTTGGATGAGGAAGCCCCTGAGACATGCAAGGGTGTTTGTGAGGGACAGGCTTTGGCTGACTGGGCAGACTTTGTTGGTGTGCTGATGCTGTTTGAAAGGGGTTCAGTAGGTGAGGCAGTGAGTGACGGACTGCCAGAAGGGGAAGAGTAGGGAGAGGATTTTACAATACCTGATGGTTCCTGTGGAACATCTGGCTCAATTTTGCAGGTCTTGGTCAGTTGTAAGGGTTGTTCTTCACATTGTTCTTCATCTTTAAAACTGTCCCCATCACCAGAAAGCTCCTCTATAACATCACACCCTTCTGCCTCAAGGGCTTTCTCCCCAAATGCTTCCAGGCTGTTTGACAAAAAGGTCTGAAAGAAATGTGTCTTTCTAATCCTATTTCTACGACCTCCCTCCTGGCCCTTCATGCTGCTAAACTGATGGGGCTTTTGAGTGATAAGTGGAAGAGGTTGACTTTGTTGATCATGTTTACCTCCCACAGCAGTGTGTTGAGAATAGCCCTGGGCTGCTGCCAGGCTTCCTCGGCCAACCCTAAGCTGGTAACGGCTGTCACTGAACCATTTACGAATGTCATTGCGGGTCAGTCCAGTTTCCTCTTGCAGACGTCTTAGCTCTGCTTCTGCAGGCCAGTTCTCTCTCAGAAAGCTCTTTCTAAGAGCAGCGAGCTGAGCCTTAGACTTTTTGTAGCGCCCATGACGGTGCTGTCGTGAAGATGACTCTGAAAGGTCCAGTGAAACCTCATTTGCTCTACTTGCTGCTGGTGGGCGGTAGAAATATGAATCCTGAGGAGGTGGAAGGGTGGAACTGAAACATGGGGCTGTGGGTTTAGCTGGTTTATAGGACGCTGGTGGCTCACACTTTGGTTTTGTCTTCTGGGGGGTGAAGCTGGAGAAGGCACCCTCCACTTCATTCTTCTCCTTATCCTCTTTTAACACTTCATCACCAATTGTGCTCTTGCAACTCATTTTGGTTTCCTCATTTGTTTCAGCAGAGTCATCATAAAGCTCAGGTACTGCCAGCTTCCGCCGTGTCTCCTCTATTTCCTCTGAGGACCAGCTAATACCATATTTAATTCTCTGCACCATAAACCACACCTTAACTTTGTCCAGTGGCAAGGCACATACCCGGGCCAAGGTGTTAACCTCACGGGATGATGGGTATGGAAATAAATTAAAGGCTCGAACTAGCTCTGGGATTGAGTCAAGTTCACGGGTCTGATCTGACTGTGTCCATACCAGTTTCAGTCCCTCTGACACCAGAGGCAGGCACACAACAGAGTTGTGATTAGTGGTGAAACTAGCCACACCACTTACGTTGCTTTCAGCTGAGCTGGCAGAATGGTGCAAATCCTTGGAGAACTGTTTAGCTTCAAGCTTTCCTTCACATTCTTTCTTTCTTACTTTCCCTTCAAAAGGCTCCTTCATAGCCATAAGTAGTCCATTTCTGCCATTGTGTTCACGGTAGGTTGCCATCTGGGATATCAAAATAGGTTCTTTCACCTAGAAAAGAAACACAAACATCAATTTAGGTGTTTGTTTTTTTGCTTGTCTCAACTGCCAACTGTTTTGATTTCACAGATAAGAACACTGTAGGGAGAGGGAAACTTTCTTCAGAGTACAGCCAACGTACAGACTATGATGTTTTAAGAACTTTGTTCTCATTCATCCTCAAAGTCAGTTATATGGCAGCTGTTTCCCCATCCCCCCTACTTTGCACTCCTATTCTGAACTCCCAATGAAACTAGTCGTATACTCCTCATCCAGACTGGGCTCCCCTCCCCCAGCATGTGGTGACTGACTTTTGTTTTGTGTGGGTAGGGAGATCGGTCGCAAAGGGTGGGAGCATGGGGAATTTGGATCTATGAGAAATCCATCACAGTCATTTCTCTCAGCCCTTCCCAGTTGGGCTTTGTTCCACTTCCAAGTGCTCGGTCCAAAAGAGAAGTGTAACCTCTTTACAAAAACAGATACCACAATGGAAATCTGGAACGTTACAACCGACATAATACACATTCCGATAATATTACAGATCAGATATTCCTTATGAAAAGTGGTTTGAAATTCTAAATACAGTTTTTTCTTCATCAACAGGTGTTAAGACAGCATTTCAACATATGACAATGGATAGCTATGTCAGTTTGCTTGGTAGAAGACTAAATACAAAGAATTATGATTAACTTTTGGACCAGCATTTATTGATATTTTTGTCTTATTGCAGTCTTTACCTTATTTGCTACATCACTCATTTGATTGCAACTACTGACTGATCAGTGTCTTACAAATAACTTAATTTAGTGTTGCGCATTTAGGTGCGAGATTACGCCAAGGCCGACGATTTGAATCGCTTGAGCCACGTAATAAAATCTTCAAGTGTACCAAAAACACAGCCAACAGTGTATTAGTCTTGAGTCACTGAAACCTATTGGGATGATGTGGTAGCTTCCTGGGCGTGTTTGATGTTTGACTTTAACGTGCTCTGAGAGTTTAAACACTGGATCTTTGTTGTACTATAAAACACAAAGCTACAGAAGTTGCTCACTGTGCCAGCCACATTAGCAGTCCACCGTCTCCCCCTTTATGGCGTACTCACTAAAACGCCTCACACTGCACAGGCGCACTTCGCCATCAGACCCGCTTCAGTGAAACATAAAAAATAAACTTACCGAAAATGCCAAAACAGCCCTTTATACCCGAGGTCCGTTTGGGCGAGAAGAAAGCAAAAGAACCCCGGACTTTCCCTCCAGGCACTCCGCTTCTTATGGCCGAAGTTTAGTTGAAGACCGAGGAATATGGTCCGTGTGTCTGTTTGACCCCTGTCTTAAGCACCTCGACGGATTACGATCGTGATACGAAATACGATGCGACCAAGTTTGTCGCCTTCCTTATGAGTTCAGTCGTCGACTAATTCTTGCCGCGGAGAACACAAATCTCTCAGTCCCTGAGATTCAGGCACGAATTCGAGTCGCTGTTACTTCGTCCTCCTCGGTTCCTCCGTTGTTGCTTTTGTTCTATAACTGAGAAGTGTTTTCCCCTGTCCGGCCAGATCGAGGCGAGGCGGAGCTCAGGACCAGGAAGCCAGAAGGCCCAACTGCCTCTCCAACAGTGAGGGCCGGGTGGGAGCGCCAGTCTGGCAGAGCAGCCCATGGATTGGAGGGCGGAGGCGCCTGTATAATAAATCCGTGGTAGTAGGCTAAAAAATGTCACGTCCACCACCCACTAGCACCCCACCCCCAGTGTGATGCACAGACGTCTGATGATTTCATCTGATCTCTGCATCCACCCAACTCTATAAAATACCAGGGGTCTTTAACGTTCCTAAACGGACTCGTTTGCAATTTTTTCCGAAGGTCCCCGAAGTACTTGGATCAAAGTTTAGAGCTTCTGGTTGTCAGCACAAATTCACAGCTACCACGGAGCACTCTGTACATTTTCTGGAAATCTGAGCGTTTTGCCAACTAGAGAAAAGTTATATTTCACACTTAAAGGATTAACACCTGATGATATTTCACTGGCAGGTTCTGTCACGTTTAAGCCCCTAATAGCAATACCTAAGTATTGCTACTTTTAAGCCAGCTAAATAAATACACAAAGAAGACACTAGAATTTTATTCCTAGAAGCTGGGTGAATGTACATGTTCATGTTAGGAAATAGAACTTGCAGAAAATAAAACTTGTGAACACTTAATTTAATATTTAAGCAAATAAAATATGAAAACCCCAAATAAAAGAATTTTACTTTGCACTGCTGGGACTGCAGAATTTACAATATAAAACCCTGGCAATGGCCCTGTGTCAGTCCCCTAAGTTTTGCCAAAATTAAGACCCAGACACATTTAGATGTATCCTACTGATTACAGACTATTACATTTTCTTTGTTCTGTAAACAAGATGAATGTAGACTACACAAAAGTGTTGCAGTGTTCCGTCACTGAAAATAAGGCAACTGTAGTCAAATAATGAGAAGTATAAACAAGTGTTAACATTCCTTTATTACCCAGTTCAATAGTAGTGGTGTTGTACATATAAACATGCAATACAAAAATATCTGCTGAAATAGGTGCAAAACTATAAAAATATTTGTTTCATAAATGTGTGATATTTAGCTTTGGATGGTTGTAATTTCATGTTTAAAAAATTCACATTGGTCATTATAACTGACTGTGGCTTCACTCACAGCTGATTTGTTAAAATGTGTAAAAGTACAGGAAATATGCTACTGAATTCTTCATGCTTTCTTTATTTTCTTGTTTGTTTTTATTGCACTCTGTTTTGGTCAGAGCACACTAATTTCGTAACGCATGATTGTGTAATGACAATATAGTCTATTCTATTCTATGTTTATCTCAACCTTATGAATGGATATATACAATAATTTAAACAATATTCCTTCAAAAACAATAAGCTGTGGTCAGTCTAAACTGTCTAATCTGTGTGGTCAGGCAAGTTTTCTTGTCACCATGTATCAGTAATTGTTCTGATCCTCAACCATTAGCAAATCTTACAGATTTAGCTAGAATTTGGGCTACTTGAGTCCTTTGAAACACAATATGATACTGCCATTCCAGTACTGATTTAGGTAATGTTTAGAACCGGCTATTTGCCAGGGTGAGCACAAAGCGTGGCAGGTGTAGGAATGAGGGGACAACAAATGAAAGCCAGGAGAGATATGGGACCTGGCTCAGGAGGAATTTAAGGGAAGTGTAATCAGCTACAATCCTCCCTGGAAATCAACAGAGAAACAAACTGTTAGCATTAAATGTTTATACATAATTGTAATTTGAAAATGAAAATCTGTTTTATTCTTAAAGCACCAGAAAAACAAAAACAAATTTACCATCAATATCTCGCATCCCATAGCGCCTTGCCAGGTCACAGGTCATTAGAACTTTCCCAGTCAGTGACATCAGACTTTTATCTTTCAAGCAAAAATAAAAACCATGTCAAAGTAGGCTTAGTTTTCAAACAAACAAGCCTCTGACAAGCTAAATTTGCCTTTCCGCGTTTACAGTAGCATTAACTCCAAAGCATGTTATGCAGATTAAAAATGTGCACACACTTGAATGTTCACTTCTGTAAAGCTTTTCTGACTGACATTAACTGGAAAGGAGGTGTTGATGCCAGTTCAGTCTTAATGTATCAATCTGACTGTGAATACCATCCTCTACAGTATCCTACCTTTTGCCAGGTTGACAATGCACTTCCCACTCAGTTCTGTGGTCTCTCCATTGGCAAATAAAGTTTTTAACTGAGGAAAAGAAAAGCCAGAGAATCAGTAATAATCTAAAGAAGCTACCATGAATAAGAGCTGGCTGTTAGAGAAGGATCTACCTTCATATTTGCACCTGGTAGTGAATCAGTCTCCAGCATGTACTGAGACACCAGCTCTGTTTTTACCGCTCCTGGCCACAGGCTGACAGAAGCCACCCCCCTGCTTTTCAGTTCAACAGCCATGTCTGCTGCCAGTCTGTCACACTGGAAACAAAGCACAAACCAAAACAGGTCTTTATTATCCTGACAAGATAAACCCAAATAAAGTTTTTTGACCAAATTATAGTACATGTACTTCTGATAACAGAGAACTTACTGCGGCTTTACCAACACCATATGGCACATTGAAGATATACTGCAGTCCTCCGAATGATGAAATGGTGACTATCAAACCTCGACCTTGAGGCACCATCAACCGGGATGCATAAACTGAGAAGATATAGTGGCCTCTGTCAGATAAACAAAAATGGAAACAAGTCAAATATTTTTTGTCTGCTCAGTTTTAAAATACCTCAAATAAAAAGCTAATTAATATTGTCTGAATTTGTGGTAGTAAAACTATCACACTGTAGTTCTCATTACTCTCAGTTTTTTGTTTTGTTATGTATTCTGAAAGAGCTACTGAAAGTGGCACTGAACTCAAAACTAAAAGACAAAAACAAGTTGAGTAACAGTCGATGTCTGGAAAAATGTTACTAGACACGAGAACATGATGCAGTTTGATGACTCAGTTGACTTATCAGACATTACTAAGCACAAAAGCATACCGGAGGCCTGCATTGTTGATGGAATCCCAAAAAGATGGATCAATTTCCCAGAACTTCTTCCCGACATTCTCAAAGATTGCCTATAATAACACATCATACTTAGAGTTTCACACATTGAATAGTTTGTGGTTGTTCCTGTGTTTGGCTCTTTCATTTAGTGGCCCACAAGTAAGTGTACAATTTAAAGTAAGCGATATACCAAGCACTGTCTCATGTCAATGCGGTATACCTACCGGTACTCCTGCATAGGCACTGTTAACCAGGATATCCAGCCTGCCATTCTGTTCACATTTGATCTGTTCAAACAGTTCTTCAATGTCATCATCTTTGGTAGAATCACAGACAACTGGTACACAGTAACCTCCCCTCTCCTTCACCTGTGTTGATAACAAAATATCAACAAATTCTGACTGAAACCACACAAACACATTTTTAGTGCAACATTTTCTAACCCATCCACCAGACCTTGATTGGAGGGATGTATTTACATTTTGTCAGCAAATTTACAGATATTGCTTCTTCCTCTCAGTTTTACAGCTGTCTAAAAATCAAGCTCAAGATTTCACCTCTGCCGCAGTTTGTTTCAGAGTCTTCTCTTGGCGCCCTGTAATATAGACAGTGGCTCCTGCCTCCGACAGCTGGAGAGCTATTCCTCTGCCAATCCCTCTGGAGGCACCTGTCACTACACACACCCAGCCAGACAGAGACATTTTCTCTGAGGGAGGAAACAAAAATTGAGTAATAAGCTAAATGATTCACCACTATTCATAGTTCACCTGAGACCTGTAACTTGGTTGCCTTACACAACCAGAATCAGCTTTATTGGCCAGGTGTGTCGGACACACGAGGAATTTGACTCTGGTACAGCGGCTCTCAGTGTGTACACATGTCAACAAGCAAGGGAATGTGCATTAGGAAAGAGCTAAGTAAAAAATAGATTAGAGTACTTATAAATAGAGACCTGTACACACACACACACACACACACACACACACACACACATAC